CGATGAAAAAATTGTATAAATACTTATATAATAATCAATATTTAATTAGTTCGACAATATATTATTTTTGCGTTTGGGTCTGCGCTAAACATAACGCCATCCTGACCTTATTCTCTTCAAGCTATTATAAGGTTATTGAGTATTTCGTCTTTGTCTTTATGGGTTTGTACCCTTTTTAGATGGGCGTTTGCTGTATGTGTCTATGGACTAGAGTGGCCACTTGTCTTTAGGTGGGCTTATTTTTCCATCAAATTTTAAACAAAATATATATTAGATCAGTATCAAAATCATTACTAAAACTATGGGTTACAAAAAGAAATCAAATATTCGGAAGTCACGATACGTTCTGGCAAGCAATATAAAAAAAGTTAAGGTTACAGCCTCTCATTTCTCATCATACTCTCATGTTTGAGAGGGTTTTAAGGCAAGTAAATGTCCGCCGCGCTGCTTCAATGCGTATTGACGAACTTTACATGCCTTTCGAAATATTTTTTTCTTATTTCTGAGACATGCAGGTTTCCTCACGATATTTTTCATCACCGCCGAGTGGGATTGCACATCAATGTAAAATTTTTAGATATTTTAAATCTGAATATTTTAAATATTCTATCAAAATTACATACAGTCTTAAAAATATTATTATATTTTTATACATTAAGATGCCATAATCTGTTACTAACATAAAGTATATTTTTTTTAAAAACGTTACCCCCACACTAGTATATTCTCCTGTATCGTGGAGGCAGTTTACAAACATAAATTGCACAAGGACAAACATCCAGACCCGAAACAATTATGGCCTACAGCCATACAAATACTTGTTCCGTGCGGGATTCGAATCCGCAGCCCCAAGCTCTGGAACTCATTGCTAAGCCACTGCGCCACGGAGCCGTCAATATAATACAAAACTATACTTTTCAGATTCTGATTGTACGATACACGTGGTTTAAGCCGGCGTTCTAGGTGTAGCTCCACCTAGAATGCACAAACCAATAACGCGTTTCGAAATCGTGGCATTCTATTAGCTTGTGTTTTCGATTATATTTTGAAGAAATGTATCACGCACATAAAAGTCTACGCTATGCTTATTAATGAACAATAAGCATGATAAATGAAATTAAATAAAAAATAAACTGCAAACTTAATTCTATTTTTATCTAGTTTTAAAATATATTTATTAATTATTTTGACACAGATTTAAGAAAAATTATCGTTATGAACAACAGCTTTTACTTAATCATTGTTTATTTCTTTTTAATTATTTATTACAGCCAATCAAAAGTACACTGCTGAACGTAGGCGTTTCCTACAGATTATCCTCTTGACAAACGGAATGAGTTTCTGGCAAATAAATTTGGATATTTGGAGGAAACATGGACATAAAGAGGGAGCTGAAAAAGTTTCTTTTTACCCTATCGTATCGATTGTCATTATTTAAAGCTCAGTGTATTAGTAGAGAAGAAACATATAAGTATTTTGTATTCAAAAATTGTCAGTTTTAGACGGTTTTTGTTAGGTACTCAAAACAAAACGTTGGTTAGGAACTTGAAATTTCTATATATTATGTACCGTATACTGTATTTCAACAACAAATACTGAAAAAATCGATTCATTATGTAGTTCTTAAGCTGTGACCAAAACAAACGAAATTTTTCTAACTAAAATACCTTATTTTTTAAAAAAAACTTAGTCATAATATTACGTACAGAACTTTACGGGTTTTTTTTATCAAGATATGGTTGGAAACCGAAGAAAAAATTTATTTAAAATGGACATATTTTTTAAGTCAATAGCTTAAAAAAAATTTGCCGTCTATACTCTATTAACCCACACAAAAACTTTTGTCTTACGGATATAAACATAAAACATGGTGCATTACACATAACACAGGAACCGAGTACACCCAGAGCCATGACAATGTGGCAAAAATTATACATCAAAAACTAGCAGTAAAACATGATCTCTTAAAGGAGACAGAGCCTTACTGGAAGTACAGTCCATCCCCAGTAGTTGAGAACGATTCGCAACTTTATTGGAACAAGTCGGTTTTAACTGACCGGACAGTTGAGCATAATCGGCCGGATATCATAGGTATTCGTAGAAAAAGAGCCGTCATGGTTTTTGGATATTGGTATTTTAAACTCGCACAATATGCAGAAATACAGCACTGAAAAAATGGTTAAATACCAGCGGCTGGCTGAAGGAATCCGACAGTTAAGGCGGCAGCAGCAGGTCAATATCGTCCCGCTGATTCTTTTCACCACAGGAATTATTCCTAAATCCCTTACTAAGAATTTAGCGAAGCTGGACATGTCAGTGAGGGTAAGGAACCAAATACAAAAAGCCGTTATCTTGGATACGACAGCGATCGTACGTCGCCACCTCTCAATTTAAAAAACAAAGGGCGGGATCTTGCGATTAGCTGGTGCCGCATCTAAAACCCCGAAAAGGAGCGCTAATGAAAGTGATAATGAATGAAATGAAATGAAAAGGAGTACGATCCTTTGTCATCTAGGCGAGGGGATAACGACTACGGAGAACCACATAAGGATAAGAAAGGGTATTTTCCAAGGCGATTATCTGAGTCCAATCTGTTTCTGCCTCTCTCTAAACCCTCTCAGTACCCTTACTGGAGAGGTCCGGGAGAGGAATTTTAGCTTCGGAAAAGGGGTACAAAAGTGACCCACCTTTTTATATGGACTTTCTCAAGTTATTCGCCTCCAGTCGCTCACATATTTCATACATGTCTCACACATCATGTTTTTAAAACATATAGTACAATATAAATAACACATTCTTAACTTTATACTTGACGTTTTCCATGAGTTTTTCTAATATTCACAATAATCCATAAAGTAGGTATACTTTCGTCATCACAACCACTTTTTTTCGTTGAAATCATAGCATGAATCATTTTCGGTAGCGTTGCACAAATATGCTCATTAGAGTTAACACGACAAATTTTCGCGGTAATAACATCTTGAAAACATGCTAAAATTAGACTGTACTATTACTAAACTTCATAGTGCTATCCATATTTCACCGTATACAGACAATTTGCAAAATTCTAAATAGACCATTGTTGTATTACAAATGAAAACGCTCGATGCCGGTACAGTGATAGATAGATAATTCGGATTATGACAGTTAACTATTAATTACAAATAGACAGTTCTTTATAGGCATAATGAAGGAGCCTGTTCATTCGAAGCACAATACCATGTAACATACGTATCGATATTTACTTCTGCGTATGCAAAAACAATAAAGAATACACAACAATCGGAATCATCTGTGTGGGAGTCTCTCACTTTGTTGCAGAATAAAGTTTCAATAACAAATTTTTATATTAAAATAAGAGTTGGAAAACAAGACGCAATTAATGCGATTCACACAGAAGCAGTCCATGAAGCATTTATGTAAGTCGCCCCTTCGGAAGATATTTGCGCAGTTATCCAATCGTGTTCACTAGACAATGAGAGTGTGGAAATGAAAGTGAAATGCTGTTACGTTATCAAAACGGAACGAGTCGCTACTCGCGCCGTATTAGTAGATAATTTTGAATAATGTTGTAAAGCAACCGGTTCTTGAGCTCTATTTGCATCATTTTTGTAAAATTTATCAAAACTAATAAAACTGTTGGTGTTTCATCAGCAAAAGCAAAATTTATTGCATTTTTTAGCATTATTTTTATATGAACTGCATATATTTTTTAATAACTGATGGTTTCTTTAAATATTTTTATTATAAAGATTTATTTATATATATATAATAAATATATTGGAAATTCGGTACAGCTGTTCTAATTGTTTAATATTTTGCTATTGCAAACATTAAAACGTATCGTGTTAATATTGCCGTCCAAACCTACATTCACTAGTAGCTACCTACGCGATTTTACAATTTGCTGCTTTTGTAATTTCAGTACAAAAAGAAAATATGCCAATAACCTACATAATCAAGTAATTCCTCTTTCCTTGTGTTTCTTCATCCAAAATTGCGCAAAACACTTCCTCGCTTGTTAATTTGACCGACCACCCACGCTTGATACGTGTCAAACTGCTAAAAACATTATCAACTTTCATTGCATCATCATTGTCATCGAAAATAATTATAGTGTTTGCGCAGCTGCCACCATTTGATATAACAATTAAACTAACTGCTTTACTTATTAACGTTTGACTTGATTTACAATTTGTTGTTTGACCTTCTTACTCTTAAATATCCCTGAATCCGATAGTATATTACTTTCCCTATATACTTAAATAGTATTTTTGTTTAATAAAACGTCATTATCTCGAAATTTATTTATGTGGTAGTTACGGAAACCACAAGATCCATTTCAAGTATTTTTTTATACGTGGGTTATGATTACTCTTAATTATACTACAAGTTCGTGTTTGAAAAGTATAATATGGAATCATCATTTAGTCAGTTAGTACTGTCAGCGTCAAGTAGGTAACAGCAGCGTAGGCGATGGCGGTACACATTGCAACGTGCCGATTCAAATCCAAGGTCTTTCCTAGTGGAAGAGAACGGAGTTTCCTGCGACCGCCTATCTCTGCGCACACCGACACTTGCACGTGCACGCACACTCGCGCACGTGTCGCTATTCTTTGTGTTCATTCTTTCCTAGCTACCGTTGCGAGGCATCTTCTTTTTGTACCGTCCGCCGGCGTTTGAAGTTCGAGCTTCTGAGCGTTTCGTTATATAGGCGACGGCGATGCGCGCGCCGCGCAGTTACTGTGTCACTGGAGCCCGCGCGAGAGGTGGCCTGCAAGGACTGTACCGCGCCGCCAACCTTTTTTTTTCTGTGCGTGCGATGTTTTCACTTTCGTCATTTTGACCAGGAGGCCAGTTTGATTTAACGTCGCTGGCGCACGGACGTGCCTAGGATCGGGCGGTGTGATAATCCTGTGATCGCTGGTGCTTCGTATTCGGATTGTTATTGTTTTTTTTTACCTATATATTTGTGAAAGAAATGGCTGTGATGTGTTAATATGTTCGACAACAACGTCCTTCTGAATTTATACAATGAGATTGCGAATAGAAGTGCACTACAGTTGGCAAGGTGAGGTTTTGTTTGTTTACTTTTATTTAATTTTATTAGTTGTAGTATACGTTGTGGGAGTGTAGGCATATGGTCCGGTGGGACGGCCGGTACAACCTTGTGTTTAATGAACGCTCTATTCGACGCTTCATCCGCCTCTCGAGTCCGCATGAGCCTCGGCGGAGAGGTTAATAGGTTCACATTAGATGGTGGTTTGCGAAATCGACTGAAGTGAACTCAATGTATGAACGCGCCCGCGCCGCTTTTCCACGCTCAGTTTCGCGCGAATTCGACACGCAAAATATACTCGGTGAAACATTAATGCATTTATTGTAATATAAATCTGTTTAATCATCAAATGGTTTACTTTACGTATACACATCCATAACATAAATTTATACCTACATAAATGTTTTGTTCCAATTTTATAACTGTATTGTTTGCAATTATTTGATTAAATATTGTCCAACGCTATACAAGCGTAAAATATAATTAAAATAGAATAAAAATTAAATGTCAACTTTCTCTACCTAAACGGTAAGCATTTGAAAACAATTTGAAGTTCGATGAATAAGGATTATGGTATTGATAAGCACACAGGTCACAAATTCAATTTGTACTTTGAAATTGTAAATGTGTTTAAATTTCGTAATTTCAATACGGCTACTTGTACACAATAATAATATAATTATAATGTACATTTTACGCCATGTAGTGGCGATATAAGAAAATCCACTACTTACCTCATATCATCCCGTGGGTGTCATAAGAGGCGACAAAAGGAAACTGAAATAGGAGATGAGGACCAGCATTTTCTCGACAACAGCTGAAAGTAATGAAAAAAAAATTGCGGTTACACCAGGCGTGGGTGGCAACTATGATTGAACCCCCACTACAAGACAGTCTATGGGGAGGCTTATGTTCACCAGTGAACTTTTGATAGACTGTACCTAGTAGGTATCTAATGAATGTACATCTATACTCTATCATACAAATAAATAAAATTGAAGTACTTATCTGTTTGTAATGTTAAAATAACAGCTTTTTACTAAATTCATATGAAAGTATATTATACGGTACTTATAACCAAAACACAATTTTTAAAATGTTTGTCTGTCTGTATATGTGTTTATTCCGGCTAATCTCCGACACGCCTGGACCGATTTTGACGAGACTACCACTGGCAGATAGCTGATGTTATAAAGAGTAACTTAGGATACTTTTGTTTTAGAAAAAGAATTAGGGTTCCCAGCAAAGAAATTAAAACCCATAAAACTGTAGTAACTTCTACGCGGGCGAAGTCGCTGGGGACAGCTAGTTTTCTGCCGACTTCCAAAAAGGAGACGGTACTCAATTCGACTGTATGTTTTTTTATGTGTGCTTACCTGATAACTTTTTACTGGGTGAACCGATTTCGCTGATGCTTTTTTATTTGAAAGCTGGTACTCCTCGTGTGGTCCCTAATCAAGGTCAGACCAATAGTTTTTGTTATTCTTAATAACGTATACTGAAGTCGGCTGTATAATTTTTTTATTTTAAATTATTATATCTATATAACATTGTGTAGTAAGTGTGATTCTATTACCATTGCCGTGACAGGCTATCAAAAGTCCATCGCTGAGCGTAGGCCTCCCCATAGAATGCCTTATAAGGTGATATTTGCCGTAGTATCATTAATTATACTAACGAATTCATCTGTCCTATACGTTTGAAGAAAACTTCAAAATAATAATATTTAAATATTCACGGGGCTTATTTAATAATGTCACAGTCGCTTGCGTATGCTTTTTAGTCGCGTAGTTGTGGCATAAGGCCGGCCACATACATACGGAATTCCGTTTCGAGATTCCGTTTCGATATTCCGATTCGGAATCCCGAACGCAGCAAGTCCATATAATATCTATGACCCGCCACACTCGTACGGTAGTTTTCCGTTCGATATTTTGCGGGCAAAACGGGATTCCGTTTGTGTGTGGCCGACCGTTCGAAATTCCGAAACGGAATCTCGAAACGGAATTCCGTATGTATGTGGCCGGCCTAAGAATGGGTATCCACGACAGAAGGAAACTGAAACCGGAGATGGACATCAAGCATCTTCCTGATAACAACTGAATAAAAAAAACTGAAGTTGCCGTCCCGCGTGCCTACCGTATCAACCCCCATGAGTCAATTTATGGGTGGTTGCTACATATTAAAGTAATATTGTTGCAATCTGTCTGACACTAACTTTAGCTATGATTTATTTTAGATAATCAGGAACAGCATTCGAATTCACGTCCGACTACTGTCGCGAACTATCTCCTTGCACAAACAAATTAACTTAGTCTGTCTTTAACTCGACTAGTTTTATAAATAGTTGCAGGTTTTAACTTTCAATCAATCTTTCTGAAAGTTTTTTTTAACCATAGTTTAAGTTTAATATGCTTGCGTATGTTTAAACTATCAATAAACCATGTTTTTTATTAAGGCCGAAAATATTTAACTGAAGAAAATAATAGTATTGTTCAAAATCATCTATCATTTCTTTAATATTCTATAAAAACTATTATCATGGTTTATCGCGATTTGTACGTCTACGGTCGCTACCGTCCCGTCACCTTGGCGATCTAAGCCTAATCTATACGATAAATGTTTAACGTAATGTAAAAACAATTGTAGTAATATTTTGTGACTCGATTCCTATTACTGATAAAGTATTGTTAGTACCTAGTATCAAAAACATAAACGTGAAAAGGGGGCCAAGTTCCGATCAAACGGCGGTCGGCGTTGTCGGCTTCAACGATAAAAGAGTTGAAATCTGAACAAGTGCCAATCGCCATAGCAACTCCTTTAATCTTAAATTCGTTTAAAAGTAAAATTTAATCTTAAGCTTGTATTAAATATCATCACTTTAAACGTAATTTATTGACTATTAAAACTTGCCGCACCAATAACATTGCCAACAACGAATATCAATTTGTGATTTTCAGATTTTTCCCTTATCGATAAGAAGTGGTATATTTTTCTGTAATACGTTAATTCATGAAATTTGGGATTCTATATATTCAAAGAGCCTTATTAAACAAGTTATATGTTAAGTTAAAAATAGCTAGAAAAATGGTTCGTGTCAATATAGCACTGCTAGTGCCTCACCTTTTTCTTTTCTGAACTTATCTTACACATATGTCTGGATATTTTTACTCCAATTAATAAATGAAAGCAACCAATTAATTTACACAGTTTCTTCAAAACGGTTAATATCAACTACAACCATTTTAATGTCAAAAATACAAATCTTAATGAAACTAATTCGAGAATGACACGCCAATAACAATTTACCAAAAATAAAACATGAATCAATGTCAATGCGGATTATTTATCGCACTGTCTAAAGTTATATTTATTTACCTATAATGTACGCCATCATTTTTATAAGCCTTCATGATGATATGATGTTCCTTCAACAGTTAACAGACTTAAATTGTTCTCATATTATGCTCTTTACATTATTTCCGGTTATTTTAAAATATTTTGAAGAAAAACAAACTTCCCTAACGCTCAACTACTGCAGCACATTTAACGGATATACAAAAAATGTATTTAAACTCGAAAACTATTTCCCTCCATTCAAAATTGTCCGTGTGATGCAATCTTTATAAATATGTTAATTTTACTCTTGACCTTTTTTTAATTTATGTTTTTTTTTTATTAAACAGTCTGTTAAAATACCACCTTTTGGGACTTACTATTTTAATAACATGTTAAAAATAATAATATATGACACTAGACGTGTACAAATTAATATTACGAATATATAAAACATACAAAGTTTACTACTGTAGTTCAAACCTAAATTTAACAGAAACTTAGGTAACGATTAATTCTGCATATACCTCAAATAATTAAAGGTATTATGTATCCTTGAGATATTATATAAAAGTTATTTAAATACGCCAGAACTTTTTTCAAAAATTCAATTTTCAATCAAAAATATCTATACCTCAAGGGTTTATTTTATAAGCATACCGTTACATATAATGTTGCTTGATCAACAATCAAGCTCTCTTATGTAAATAATAAAAACACAACTTATATGTATACGGAGGATTCTTATTTGGGATCTAGTTATTTATGTGAGGATTTCTCGATTAGGAAAGTCCACCGCACTGTTCACGGTTATTTTGTGGACACATTCTAATTGGACAATACTAATATGTGCAACAATTTTGTAGGTGTGTAGCGGATCTTTAAGATAGAGGTATTTCAACTGAGTATTTTACTAGCGCGGAACTAACACAATGATATTAAACCAGACGCGTACGTAGACCTAATTGGCCCTATCTCCTATTATTTTTGTTATTTTTATCAAAAATAATAAGAGATACATAAAGTTACAAAAAATAAATCGTGTGTGTACTTTCCTCCTTTTTAATTATATTAAAAGCAATATAAAATCACATTTATGAAACGTAATATGTAAAAGCTTTCAGATTATTTATTTCAAAACAAAAACTAAGGAAAACTATTTAATTGAAAACTCCCGAATGTGTAAAGCATAATATATATTATTATAACACGATACGACATTATTATTTTGCTTTAATGAAAAAAACCATTAAAGCATTTTCCGTATTAGAATAAAATATGAAACTAATTAGGTACGCCTCCATTATTTAAAGGCATATATACTCGTTGCGATAATGTTTAATTATATAAAACAATATCACAATTTTCCGTGTCAATAGAATAGGGCTGGCAAACGTCACAACCATTATAATTGACGATTTTCGTTAAAGGAATTAATCAGTGTATTGTTATTACAACGAAGTACTTTAAAAGGTTATCTTATTTTCTAACAACTTCAAAAAGAAGACGGTACTCAATTCGACTGTTATATTTTTTTTATGTGTGCTCCGTCATAACTTTTTTCTGGTTGAACCAATTTCGGTGATTTTTTTTATTTAAAAGCTGGCGCTTCTCATGTGGTCTCATATAAATTTGATCACGGCCTGAACAACAGTTTTTGAGTTATTCTTATTAAT